CTGCATCCCGTTTTCGGCCTGGCACCCTTTTTCCAAACCCCTCCTTTGGTACCGTAGGATTTTGGACAACTGGCGCCATGCTACAATTCGGGCGCCACTTTCAAATACTGCATTTTTCAGTTCTGCCCTCGGGGCCTTTGCAGAAATGCCCCTAGTACCGTACGTGTCACCGGTACTTATACCGGCTCCCCGTACGGTACGGGGACCAGTCTCGTACCAGTTCTCTGCTGCTGTACTCGTACTCAGTGTGACTTGCTGTTTCGACATTCGGAATCCAAGACTTCGACTTTGTGACTTGCCACTATGTCTGCGTCCGATCCTCAGTCCGAGTCCGTCGTGTCAAGTGAGTGAGTGTGTGTGTGTGTGCTCTCACTCTCTCCCTCTTTCTCCTCTCCCTCGGCTCACCCTCAGCCTCACGCTCGTTACATCAACCTTCTCTGCCTAATTTCCTTTGCTGAAATCTCTTTAGTTCTCATGACCACCATTTTTTTCTCCCACGTCAGTACCATGCTGATAATTGGTAGCCAATCAGTCCCATCACAGTAGCTGTCAGGAACAGGAGGGATCAGAACAGTCTTGTATGTCACTGACATTAAACCCCATTCCACTTTCTTTTTTGCTTAGTTAAATTTGCCTTCTCATCATAAAGAGACTGGATTGCAATTCCCCATAACCAGTTGAAGGTCTCACCATTGTCACAGTCTCCCTTCTTGACATAAGGACAGATATCATAGATATCCCCCTCCAAGAAGCCAGTCAACACTACACTGATGGCCGAATTGCCAGAACGGTAGACCCAACAATGCTCATACCGATAGGGGAATATTCCTTTGATAGTTACTTTCGAGAGTTCTCTCAATGCATTAGAAGTTAGCATTCTTGATGAAGTCTCTGAGCTCTTGATTCTTCCTTTCTCTTCTCAATGTTCCAAGGACATCATAGGTTCATGAGGCATACCTGAGATCAAGCCCGGTTTTCTCCGGTCAGTAATATCATTCGCCTTCTCAGTCCAGTGTGGTACCTCACACAAGGAAAGATAAGACTCAGTTAACAACTACACTTTCTCAAGAGAATAATAACTCAAGAAACGATTACCAAGTGAGTCCGGAAAATTCAGAATTTTTCGACAGCTCTCAAGGCCTAATCAAAGCTCAAAGTTGTTCGTTGACCCAGGCTCGTTCCGGACACGAAAATTTTTCATGTCCCCGGCAACGACACCATTTTTGTCGCATTTTCTTCCAGTCGGGCCGCTTCAGGCGACCGGAAAGCCAACAGGATGTCACGCAGGGTTTTTGATGTGATTGCGGTAAATAAAATAAATTAAATAATGCAAATCCCCTCCTGTTGTGTGCGTCCGGCTTTGAGCGAGACCCTTCAATTACGGTCTTCGCTGGTCCCCGATCTTAGGAATATTTTATTTTGATTCGAAACAGCAAAGAATGATGGAAATAATAATCATGAGGTTTTGATATGTCATGCATTTATCAACTCTGCCATTTTCCGAGTTTGAGAACTGTGACTGAATCATCAGGGAATGCAATCGTTTAACAAGACAAAGCAAGAAACAAGACTGACGAACTCGAACAATGACAGAACGAAGTCAAATGAGGGAATAATGAAAACTCATAATAGTCTCAGAAGGTACATATGGAAGAGAGTATAACCAACACAAATCTCGAGTCCTCACTCATCCCTCTAAATCTCACACTCGATCCCTCATTTGGATGTCTGTCGTTTGGGCTTCTTGCCATGTCTCCGTACTCTCTGGGTCTGTGGCCTCTGAATGTAGAGCCACCTGAAGCCTGCTAGTTCCGAATACTTCCATCCAAGGTACATGACCCGAAAGTCAATCATGGAACAAAATTCTTCCCACAACGTAGGTAAGTAGGGTCTAGAGAAAATCCCTCGTCTGAGATGCGGGAACTCTGAGGGCGTCGTCACTGCCTCGTAATCAATCACCGCAGGGGAAATGTACCTCTTGGCCAGCTCCACCAGTTCACCCCAATAAGAGCCCTCAGTGAGGGTAAAAGGTACAGGAGGCTTGGGATAATCAATGAAAAGGTTAGGACCAAAGCTATAAGACTAGCTATGTGCTCCCTTGGAGTCTCTCTGCTTTCCATTGCACGAACCTGGCTGCGGCAACCCACACTGCATCAAAGTGAGGGTGTGTCTCGTTCCCCTCCTTCAGGAAAATCCGCAGGTCTTTGACTGTACCTTCAGCGAACTCAGTGAGTGCGACGAAGATAGACAGATCTTCGCGCTTGAACCTATCAATCTTGACATACTTGTAGGAAAAACTCGCCTTGGCAGCGATCAAGTTGAGGCTGTCAAGGACCAACTGGTCGACTGAGATGGGGGTGATTTCTCTCATGTACTTGGGGTAGATAGTTACTACCTGATAGTATGAAAGAGGCCGAGTTTGGCTGACAAGTGTCCGTTACAGGTTGAATCAACTGTTGCCCACTAAGAGGATGGCAGTCGTCGCTGATCTAATCAAGCCCTTGAAATCGTGTCCTTGAATGCCGTTTGAGAAAAGCATGAATGCTATCTTGAGAAAAGGTCTGAATGCTCACTGATACACTGAGTCATTGAAACATGGATTTACATGGCACTACATGACTGGACTGCACTCATGTGCTGATGCTAACTAATAAAGTTGGACACTTCACTCCCTTTCGTGGGCTATGTCTTGATGTTCGATGGGGTAGAGGTTCAACCACTTGCTGTTTGAAAGGTGATTGAATGCTGATTGATAGGTGCCTGAATGCTGATTGAATACTGACTAGATACTGATTGAAAGCTAACTGGATAACGAATTCACCAAACGCTAGCCCCTTTGGCTCTCAAAAGGTCAAGAAAGTTGCAGATCTCTGCATGAATAGTAATGTCTGAGCCCTGAGTGATCTTCTAACAGAGAACCTGACAGTTGAGTTTTGGATTATACTTGACATTTGATTGACGTTCAAGCGTCTGATTGAATGCTTTGACCCGCAAGTACTTGAATGTTTAACCGAACAGTGCTTGAGTACCAGCTAAGCTTTTAGTTGGATAACTGGTTCTCAAAAGTTGCCATATGCCCAAGCCTCGTCAGTCCATCGTCTGCTGTATATGACTCGGTACTATCAGTACCACCCCTTTTTTTTTCCTTCTTACTCTTACTGTTGGTTGCTAAGAGCCTTTCGTGCCTTGCCCGTCATTTCTGCTGATGAGATGATGCTATACAATCGCCCGTCTGACCCGTAAAAGTAGATAGTGTATGCCACAAATTTATGTCCTTTCACTATTTCTAACACTCTCCTTCTCATCAGCCCCAAGATGTACGGGATTCCTTGAACATCTTTCTCCTCCCAGTCATCCCTCTTGTCCAGGTGGAGGGCATAGGTCATCCTCACCTTGTTTCTGCTTTCCATGATTAACGCGCCTCTCTCATAACTCCGACTTGGGTTTGCAGGGACAAAACGGGAAGCAGAGGACCATTAATATTTCTCACGAGATTTCGTCGGGCTGTTTTCACTTGATCACGACATTGGTTCTCAGCCACGCACAAAATAGACCCCAGAGTAACTAGAAAAGATTACATGGATCAGGCAGATGACTGTAGAGAACAGATCTGTTGTAGTGGCCAGGAATAAGGCTTGTTTGTTTGGAGACTTAAATAGAGCCGTCAAAAGGGGGAAAGGGGTCTATACCCCCAAACGAGATAATGATCGAATATAAGATTTCTTGCTAACTACAAGCTTTGATTGCTGTATCGCGTGCAGGGTCTATAGGTGCTGATACTCAGGTAAAGGCCCGTCCAAACGAAACTTTATCCTGGAAGCTGAGACTTTGGGCTCAGGGTGAGTCTGATTGCGACTCGTTAGGTCCCATTACGAGGTTCATACATTCGGTACCGTGAATCCGAGTGTGATTGAGTATTGTCGGCTCAGCCACTCATACGTCGCGTGGTATCAACCAGGGTACCTGGCTCAATACTCGACCCTAAGTATAGCCCACTCGTACGACACATACAGATCAAACTCATTAAGCCACTCTAACTAAAAGTCCGACGTGGCTAGAGCTCAGAGCCCGGGTTTTTCACCTAAAGACTCCGACGCCTAGCACTTGACTAATCCGTACTCAAATTCGGTGAGAACTCATAGGAACAGGGTCTCTGAGAAAATTGCCCTAGTGCTCACACCGTTGTTTGATTACGGAGAGGTCAACTGAGGGCAAGAGTCTCTTGAGAACAGGAAGGAGGAGTGCACGCAGCGCACTCTCAGAACGTAATTATGACCCTGCTAGCTATAATGGGATACTCAGGTTACTTTCCTTTGAGTTGGAACTTGCTCCGATCCGAACAAAATAGACACTTAGTTACCATCAAGTAGGAATTTAGCAAGGACATAAGAGATCCTCCTCAGTATTGCCTTTCTTTTCTCCATCTACTCAAAAGTCAAGGCATAGATCATAACCAATGGAAATCGTCTTGTGTTCCCCTTGACATACAAGCCCACTCGGCGAGCCCGGAAGCAGACCTGCATACTCGGAAAGATACCAGCTTGCACTCATCAAACTCACAAAAGCATTCAAACATGCATTCGTGTACTCACACGGGCACTTGCAAGCTTATATGGTCATGCACTCAATTTTTCTCAGGTCACAAGTGAACTCGTACAACTACAAGCAGGCATTCGATCGGGCAAGCATATGTAAGCCAACGCGATCATACGCTCATGCAGTCACCCGGTGCAGTCACACGGTGCAGTCACACGGTGCAGTCACACGGTGCAGTCACACGGTGCGGTCACACGGCACAACCACGCGGTGTAGTCACACGCAAAAGAAAAGGAAAAAAGAAGGGTCTGAATCCCAATTGTATTTGTAGTCTCCGTCTTTGCATGGCTTAAGCACACGAATACGAGGGTTGCATATCTCTTTGGCCTTGCCAAGTAATCGAGTAAGCCACTTAATGCAAGTAGTACATCCAACAGACAAGCGCAGGGTCATGCCAATACCAAAAATATCCAACTCCAGCCTTGCTAATCACTTAAACTGGTCGCCCGTACGTTGGGTTCCCTCCGAGGCCAGCACGTTTTGGACCGTTGTTATGTGTTGGGGCTACTCCCCTGTTCGCCCGCTTACAAAGTCTAATGAGGGCTTAACCTTTGTCATGACGCAACATGATCGATTAGCACCAATCAATCACATTAATTAACCAAACTAGGAGGGGAACTAAATTAATAGAAACAAAAGGGAATTATTCGCGATAGCCAGCATCTTATCTGAAGACTCGGCCAATACGGTTATAGAGAAGCGCGTCGATGACCCTTGATAGCAATGTCCTTTACAGCTTGAAAGTCACGTGAAGGTGGCAAGACAGGTGGTCATCGGAGCGAGTGCGCTAACCAGGTAAGTAAGATCGCCTTCAAAGAGCGAGAGCCCCCCCTCTCTCTCTCTGACCTCATAGCCTCCGATCTTCTTCAACGCGTCCTCATAGCTCAAGCGTCTATTTTTGCATAGAGCCCAATATTCGTCCTATCGCGTGCATCTTGCTTAGACATAGGTTGCTTTTGCTCGGATACATTGATGTAAATGGTAAGCTTACACACGCAAGCCTCTCCAACTCATCCCGCTTACTCAGTCACCTGCATTCTCGCGTCCCTGCTCAGGCCTTTTCTTGTCTATTTTCTCACGACTCACTGAGCAATTAGCTCGTGGCCTTGCAAATCATGCATGCACCAATCAGAGTAGATGTGTTAAGCCTTCCTCATCAGTTTGTATAGAACATGACGGCAGCCAGTGAGGATAAGCGTGAGGGAGTCCGTTCTGCGGCAGCATGAGAGAACTGTCAGTAGAAGACGCACTGGTCGTCATGCGCATTCCCTGGCAACTCTTAAGCCATCAGCACCTCTTCCCCGTAGTCTATAACGCCCCGACTCAAGAAAGACGCTCGGCATCAACAACAAATTATAGCTGGCTGGCTGCGCTCATGCATCTTTCCCTCTTGCGATTTTGCCACGGCCCCCCTTTTACCATTCACGCCCACTCATGATCGTCTCTCCTCACGGGACAGGTCACTTGAGAGTACAGATCTCGCTGCCCCAACCTTCTCTCTCCCTCTCGGTCATACAGTCCTCTGTAACGCCTCTCGCACGCCGTCCTCTACCAATCTCGAGCTCTCGATGGCCCAATGCTCTCCTTACTCGCGCCCTCAACGCATGATGCCTCACTAGCTGTCCGGCCAGAGCACGCGCATTAACCCCTTCCCTCCTGCTCATTCAAAGCGGCTACCATAGTGGCCGTTGTTCACTGCCCAAGGAAGTCAAGTTGACGTCAATGAATAGTCTCTCGGTCGCCACCGCTTGCGTCTCTATCACTCTCTGCGTCTTTCTCGCACGTGTTGACCTCTAGGGTGCTCGCTCTCTCTCTCCCCCACTTGTCGATCACACGCCTTTCTTTCCTTTACCTCCCACCTTTTCTGTCTTGCGCCCTTTGGGACTCCGCTGCCGCGAGCTGGCCTTGGGCCCGCCTTCCACAGGCTGTGCCTGGGATGGTTCTTGCGAACCTAGTCCGGCCTATTCCAGGACTGGAGATCAGCCTCCCGGTCTCCAGCCTCACTCATCTCACTCTCTCCTCCCGAGTCCCTGTCCAGGTGGGCCTGTTCTCGGCCCACCGTGTCTGCTGAGGTCTTTGTCTCATGATATGAGACCGTTACTTGCATCCTCGTCGTCACTCCCTCTCTCCTGCAGCGCGGCTTGAGCGGGTCCTTGGCTTCCGTAATAGCATCTTGCAGCTCCGGGTTAGTCCTCATTTCCTCCTCTTTAGCCCCTTCCACATTAATTTTTAGTCTCAGTTCGTCTCCCCCATCGTAATTGAGCATCACCGTAATCCAGGGCCCTTCCCTAGACATGGGCTTCCAGCGAGTCTAGAGGTACCAGTAGCCTGGTCTATAGCCATGCAGTGCCATAGCCAGATTTTTCTCAGCAGACCTTGCACCAGCCCAGTCTACTGTCCTAGAGTAATCAGGACCAGCGTGCAAGCAAACGCACACAAGCAATCTCTCGTTCGTTCACTAAAGCCGCCTAGCCTTCTACCTGCAGTACGCTAGTACTCAGCATAGCGGGGTCGCTCAGACCTAGCTTGCAGACGTCTTTCCCCTTTTCCTCTTATAAGATTCTTGTTTACTGTGATCCCCTCGCTCTAGACAAGGGATCAAAACCAATAAATTCAATTAATAGAATAAAAGAAAGTACTTTATTAAGAGAAAAGAGTTAAAACAAACAGACAACAGAGAAAATTAAAAGCAGTACGCCAACATTCGTAGGCCAGCCCTTTGCGCAAAAAGACGGCTCTGCTTAGCGTGGTGGTCCCATAACGGGACACCGACGGACGCTCCCATCCCTTTAAAATGAACCATCGGCCTATCTCTTTTGGGTACCCGTGTCCAATGGCAAGGAGGGGGTTCATGACCTCCTATAGGGGGTGATGGGCTTCCTACCGATGCGGTCGCGGGTCGCCCCTCTTTTGAGGTCCCTACCTCGTAGCGCCCAATCAAGACTCCCAACCATCGGTGCAGAATGAAAAGGTCAAGCCAGTCTCGACCACAGACCATGGCCATGCTCGAAATTCAAACCGTTGGCCTTCCCGCGAAGTGACAGGAACCCACGTCTGAAAATCAGCAAAAAAAAAAATAATAATAATAATAATATCAGGCAAAAGTAGGGGAATTAGAACGTCGTAATGGCCTGAAGCCACCGGACCCCCCCCCCAAACTAAAGTGTGGGTTCAGATCCGACGATTTTTTATTATTATTTTTTTTCCCTCTTTTCCTTTTCTTCCCTTCTTTTACTCCGCCCAGTCCCTCTCTTTTCTTTTTCCCCTGACAGTGGCCCCCGCTCCTCGCACATAACCCATAACTTGGCAAGGGGGCACTCAGCGCGCAGTAGAAGAAACCGCGCCAGTCCCTCTAGTTGCAAAGTCGTCGTCGCTGCCCGTTGGGGGCACTCGGGCCACTCGGCGCACAGTAGAAGAAACCACGCCAGTAGAAGAAACCTCCGCGTCCTAGGGCAAGCCCGGCGACTACCACGGCCACAGGCCGGTAGTGCTCTGCTGTACAGTAGGGCGCCGAGCCTGCGTGGATCAAAGGAAAGCCGTGTGGCGCCCCCTTTTGCAGAAGGCAAGCACCTACAGGCCGGTCCATTCCCAGGCACCACCCAGGTATCTCAGCGTTACTGTGGAGGTTAGGCAACAGACTAAGCCACTACACTTCCGAAGCACCGGTACCAATCAGGGACTTGGCGCACAAAGGAGGGTCGGGACACAACGCCCTCCGACAACGCGTGCTACAGTGATGAATCCAACGAGTCGCTTGCTTGGGTTGAACGGCCCTGGTGAACTTCTTAAGGTTCATCGTGACGGGGAGAAGTTGTTATGATTATCGATTTTGAACGAGGAATGCCTAGTAAGCGCGAGTCATCAGCTCGCGCTGATTACGTCCCTGCCCTTTGTACACACCGCCCTTCCCTCCTACCGATTGAATG